AAACTGGTATCATTGGCTGTTGCGGGGCTAGATTTACAGCAAGGGGCAGTAAAGAAAAATATATTTCTCATACCATACTACTCCCTAACATCTAATACCCCTGCCTTCACAAATACGCACTGACCAGTGTGGTGAAATATGGTCAAATAACCCCCAAAACCCAAATGGCATGAGGAGGCCCTGATCCACCCATGTGTCTCTTGAAAGGTGACCTATTGTCTTAATGGGATCTCAGCCAGTTTTAAATAAAATACTTCAACGAATGTCTGCCCTGCAGTTAAACTTCGAAAATATGTTTAGAAAACACCCACCTCTCAATGTTTTCTGGCAGGAACGTTAGCAACCGATTTATAAAATCAACTGCAGTCAATGTAGATCCCGGTGACATTTAATACAAGTACGTTTTGTCAAAAGAGCAATGCTATGCCAAAACGCAGATTATTATTGGAAAAGAAGCCTTACTATGAGATAATGAGTCGGATAATGAAAAGCACCAATGTGGCTGAAGATGACAGTTTTCATTCAATGCATATTGGCATCTATGACATATGGGCAGAAACATGAACAATGACAAACACAACAGAACAAACATTGAAAATATAGCATGGAAAACTGCGCTCAGAATTACTACAATGAGACGTAGAAATAGAAACACTGATCACGGAAGAACCCAAAAAAATAGAGATCTGAATAAATGTTGAGATAAGTGGGCTTGAGCTGCCCCCATTGCTGGAAGCAATGATGGCCGATGGACAAGACTCTGGATGGAATGGCAGCCAAAGCAGAGTAAATGCCCGAGAGAATAACCAGTGCGGAAATGCTCACGTGCAGGAGATACAACGTGGCATACCAGAACAGAGTGGGATGGCATCGGCATGGGGAAGACAATCCACCAGTTGACAAGACAACGGCTCATGGAAATATTATGGGGTTGCCTTCTCCCACCAGCTGGTTGCTTTATGAATGTTTCAGATGTCCTAAACCACAACCAAAAACGTACTAGTACTGTACAGAACTTTGTAAATCCAATGCTGGATGAGGGCTTAACAACGCTGTGCGATTCGCGAGTACTATTATGCGATCATACTTCACCACGCTGGTCATTGTGCGTTTGAGAAGATTGGAAACATCCTGCTGCCCACGACATAGCCTTGCAGCGGGCTATGATGTGCATGGTGGTCACCAATTCCAGACTCAAGCCTGCTTCAAATTCGAAATTTGACAAAGATGGCTCGCATTCCAGACCGATCACGGGCTAAAATCACTCTACGAATGAAGCAGACTCTTTTTGGAAGAATTACCACGAGTTAAACGCGGGTTATAAAAAGTCCACAGAGGTAAGTCCCTTGTGTAATGTATAACCGTGTCCAATCGCACACGGCAATCTATGTGCATACGTTCCCCACCTTAGTTTCTCTACAAATGTAAATTACAAATTGGGAGTTACATTCTAGCAGACATGGGATCAATTAAAACAATTGTGTAATCGAACCTACGTTCTACTCAGTATGGGAATTGATGTGGTATTCATCTTCTGTTTACAGCCAGTTATGGACAATTCCGCATTCCTATGGCTGGGCCGAGTCTTTCATGGGATATCCACAGTCGACTTCTCCACAAATTGGTACTAGTTTATACCGAGCCACCTGGCCGTATAATTGCTATATGTGCAATGTCAACTCAAATTACGTTTGCAATTATTTACAAATTACACAACTCAATTATATCGGGACTGTTTCTGCACCAAACACGGGGTTACATACAAAGTGGACAATATTTGGAAAGACGCGACGCAGCATTTGCTAAGGACACTTGACAGCCGACGTGACAGACCGCAGCAAATCGAACACTATCTTAATCATTCAACACATGACAACACGTCGGCAACCCTTGCGCGACGAGGGGTGTCATCGGCGACAATTACTCTCGTGAGACGCGCGCTCGCCATTCAAAATACACGCTCGGCTTTAAAATACGAGACTTGGCAGCAGGGGCCTAGCGTTTCGTTCAAAAGCCTCGGCCTCGCCTGGACGCCCTACGGGAATAGGCGTACGGGGCCGGGCAGCGGCCGCGACCAACAACGGCACCGGTCACCCGAACAACTTACGCTTCACGAACAACCCCCGATCGGACACCTCATAAAGAAATGACGCAAAATCAAAGCAAAAAAAGACTGATGCAAGGTGAGGGAGCAGGGCTGGTCGGGGTGGGGGTGGTGAGATCAAGATACCCGCCGCTGGTCTGAGAAGACGACGAAGAGCCGTGAGCGACTGGGGACCTCGCAAGTGGCCGGGGATGAATCAACGCCCCAAACGAAGATGGCTGCCGGGGGTGTCGAGCCGACCGGACGTGACGTACGCCCACCTTTATATATTTATTTTTTAGAGGGGGTCGGCTCCAGGGGGGGTTGCCGTTCGCGAGTTCGGATACAGGGGGTTAGTGTTCGTAAGTCGAGTTAGGTTACAGGGGGTTAATGTTCGTAAGTCGAGTTAGGTTACGGGGGAAGGTTACCGTTCGTAAGTTGAGTTAGGTTACAGGAGGGTTACTGTTCGTAAGTTGAGTTAGGTTACATGGGGTTACTGTTCGTAAGTCGAGTTAGGTTACAGGGGGTTAGTGTTCGTAAGTCGAGTTAGGTTACGGGGGGGGTTACCGTTCGTAAGTCGAGTTAGGTTACAGGAGGGTTACTGTTCGTAAGTCGAGTTCGGTTAGAGGGGGTTAGTGTTCGTAAGTCGAGTTCGGATACAGGGGGTTAGTGTTCGTAAGTCGAGTTAGGTTACAGGGGGTTAGTGTTCGTAAGTCGAGTTAGGTTCCAAGGGGTTACACTTCATAAGTCAAGTTAGGTTCCAGGAAGTTACCGTTCGTAAGTCGAGTTAGGTTACAGGGGGTTACCGTTCGTAAGTCGAGTTAGGTTACGGGGGGGGGGGGGGGTTAGTGTTCGTAAGTAGAGTTAGGTTCCAGGGGGTTACCGTTCGTAAGTCGAGTTAGGTTACAGGGGGTTAATGTTCGTAAGTCTAGTTCGGATCCAGGGGGTTAGTGTTCGTAAGTCGAGTTAGGTTGCAGGGGGTTACTCATTATAAGTCAAGTTAGTTTCCAGGGGTTACTGTTCGACATAGCCATTTAGTAAGGTTTGTTTACAATTGCAAAGCAATTGTAACGCTCACACTCACACACGAGAGAGAGGGAGAACGACTGGAAATCGCGAGGAAGAAAGCACAGGCGAGTGGGGGAGGTTTGCAGCCAGGCGGTGAGCTGGTGCCAAATCCCGCCACCTCCCTCCCCAAGCTCTGCAGTCCTCTATATGTATGCACTGTGCACGTGTTATGTATATCGTTTATTGTTAAATTTGAATTTCAGTTCCTATGATCACTGTTACATTGTTTTCATAGCTTTATTTTGGTGATTTCGAAAACGTTTTGGTTTAGCTGTATTTGTTTGTTGTAGTACAGAGTTAGACTGATAACTTTAATCTAAATTGTCGTATGGGTGTTATTGTTTTACTTGCATCCCACTGGGATTTTTTGCACACAACGTTTATATACGGTGCTTTTTATGGAAGACTTTGCTGTTCTTTCCTGGATTCTACTGTTTGCGCGTAGTCACTTTAAGATGTTCCTTGTTCATCTGTTTGTTTGTTGCGGTTGCACCCGATTCAAGAGCCGCATGGCTCACAGGGCAATTCCTAATAAATGAACTCGAAATAAATTAACTGAACTTTCGCACCGTACGTAGCCGACCTATTAAGGTGTTATCGTTCAATTAATGAGTGTTTACATGCGGGAGGAAAACGGAGCACAAGGAGACAACCCCCTGCAGCGCGCGAGGAGGCAACTCTCTATCAGTCTATCCCATACAGATGGCACAATTGGGAGTCCACACATTCTAGATTTGAAGCTTTCGTGACTGCAAGGATCCATACTCTTTGGTTCTATTCGGTAAAGTCACGTAGGTAAAAAAATCAAGTAGTGGTATTCCAAACTTTCACAGCTGCTTAAATTCCCTTTTCACACCATCAATATGTAAACTAAACCTCCCCCCCCCCTCGCCGGTCTGCGCATGTTCACCCCCTCTACACCGTTCACCATGCTAAGTCCGCCAATTAAATGCTAATTTTTATGCTAATTCATTTGTCAAGGCACCTTAATTCCTCTGACACAAGCTTAAAGGTCGCGGTCTGAGCTTGGCTGTGTTCACTCCAGCGCTGTCCTCGAGACAGTCTGGTCCCTTCACCTGATGAAGGCCACTTGTGTTGTGGCCGAAACGTCGTGATTTTTGTTGTTTTATTTTTTTACCTACGTGACTTTACCGAATAGAACCAAAGAGTCCACACATTCTTGCTGTACGGCTTCTTCTCATGTGGCTGCACTGCCCCCTTGTGAAAGGCCCAACACAGAAGAGCCTTGGGTTTGAGCTTCCGCGAAGCTCATGGTCCAGCTTACAAACCACGGCAGATGCAAACAAAATACCTGATGCACAAATGATCGAAACTTCAGAACTATCCAGTGGTGTGCGTGCCGCATCCACAAATATGGAAGGAGACACATCACGGCGACGCGCTCCGCTAACTCCTGACGCGGTTATCGAATGGGCAGTAGGAAGGCCGTAGGAAAGCAGCAGCAGACGAAAAGGAGACTGCCCCCCCCCACCCGGCTGCCCCCCCCTTGGCTGCCCCCCCCCCGGCTGCCCCCCCCCGGCTGCCCCCCCCGGCTGCTCCCCCCCGGCTGCCCCCCCCAGCTGCTCCCCCCGGCTGCCCCCCCCCCGGCTGCACCCCCCCCGGCTGCACCCCCCCCCTTGGCTACCCCCCCCCTGGCTGCACCCCCCCCCCCCCCGCTGCCCGGGTGGCACGAAGGGAAGAGTGTGCGCGTCCCCTTTAACCCGGCGTGCTTGGTGGTGGTGGTGGTGTGGGGGGTGGGGGAAGAGGGGCGCGCCCTCCCTCCCGCCCTCCCGCTCGCTCATCGCCGCCCCTCCTCCGCATCTCCCAGTCGGCATCAGCGCGAGCGCGTGCACCGCCCTCCGGCCAATGGGAGCGCGGGGCGCCGGCCTCACGCACGGACACGTGCGTGCGTGTGTCCGTGCGTGCGTGCGTGCGCATTTCATCGAAGTCGCTGCGAGAGCCGCCGCGGAAGGGAGAACCGAGCCGCGTCGCGCCGCACGTGCGGGCTATAGGGAATAATAACAACAACAATAACAACAACAACAAACACCACGGTTGAGTCGTCCCCGGGTTGAACGAGAGGCGCCGGAGGTGAGCGTGAGGGTTCGAGTGCCCCGCTTCGGGGTGCGGGTTCCGGTCGCATCGCGCGGAATTCTAGACCGCGTGCAGGCTGTGTTACGCCGTGTGTGTGTGTGCGCGCGCATGTAACAGGCCTCGCGTGGACGGAGAGTTTCTAGAGTGAACGCTTAACAGCCGCAGAGGCCTGTTCGCAGATGAGGGTGCTTTTGCCTAGGCTAGGTGCAGCTGAAGCTCAGGCGGGGTGGTTGAAAGCGAGTCCACTCAGCTGCACGTCCTTGGGAACGTCCATAAATGACGTCACGCGATTTTTGACCTCCCACCCCTCGTCACACGGCGTCACAAAAAGTCAGACCCCCCCTCCCTCAAAAATGACGTCACAAAGCTCTGCCCCCCCCCCCCCAAATAAATAAAACATGCTTCAAATCGCTTTAAACTATTGTCATTGTAGTGCGTATTTAATGTGGCGCTGCACTCTGCTGTTGTAGGCGAAAACATTTATTAAAAAGTCTAATTAAGTAGAACGTGCTTATATTTATTGAAAGTTGCGCATTTTGATGTGACGTCAGATTTCTCACCCCCCCCCCCCCCTCGTCACACATCGTCACAAATGTCTGACCCTCCCCCCCACCCTAGGTGCGTGACGTCATTTATTGACGGCCCCCTTCCTGTACCATTCAATTCCCCCAGTCAGTTGCAAGTCTCTCCCGCACCACGCCAGGTCACTTGCTGCGGCTTCTCCTGCACCGCATCTCTCCATCCAGTTCCGAGCCGACCTTCACTTGGTCACAAATCTCCCCGTGCCTACCTCGACACAAACCGCCCCAGCCGCCGGTCCTTCCAGAATCGGTCCACTGAGCTCCTCTGCCGCATCAGTCAACTAAACCTCAGGTCCTCCTCCACTTGGGTGTCACGCGGTGGCGAGATGTTAACTCCCTCGCCCCTGGTGTGCGGGAGGTCGTGGGTTCCATCTCGACCCTGACTGCTGCTCTATATTTGAAGTTTGCGTGTTATCTCTCTCCCCGTGATCGCGTGGATTTTTCTCCTTGTCCTTCGGGTTTTCCCTCCACATTTATAATCAACATCACGCGTTTAGAGTAATTGGCTGATATTCAAGTGGCTGATATACAATTGCCACTTCGTTGAGCTATCATTTGTGGCCAGATCGCTTCCAAAAGATATATAGCTCAGTGTGCCTTACCTAGTAAAATAAATACAAATCTTTGCAACAGTCTACTGAGTTCCAGACGCCCCTGCACCATCTGTCCATTCGGCACTCTGTTCACTCAGCCCTAGGGCAACCGCTCGCTTCCTGTGTGCGTGTGTCCAAATTAATCCACACAACAGCAGCCACCACTCGCGACTAAATGGCGGTGACGTCACCGCAGCGCTTGTGCCAGGCTAGGTGCACTTGGAGGCCGTCACGTGAAGTGTCGAAGGCTCGCTGCGAGCAGTTTCACTGGACAGGCGCAAGGTGCCGTGGCTTCATGGACTGAGACGACTGGCAGATGCACCGCCTGTTCTCCCACACCACACACCATACCTATCAACCCATACGGGTTACCCCGTATTCTTGTACGTGGAAATTGAGTTTTCAGGTCCATACGGCGTGCAGCCGTTTAAATACGGGCAAAAAAAAATTGTCTTTTTATTTGTGTTTCTTCCTTGTGATGAGACTTTGTAGAATGAACGTTGAGATTTATAAGGGGCACGGGGTGACCAATAAGTTTTGAATTGGTCTGTAATAAGGTAGTCACTGATAAGGGGTTGACACACACACTGCGACCCCTCCTCTTCCCGCAGCCTCCACCCGGGGCCTCATGGCTGAGCGTGGCGCGCACCTCGCCTCGTCCGCCACGGCCCTCGACGGGGCCCCCTCCGTGTTCGAGGCCCTCGCCCAGGACGGGCTCGTGTCGGCAGTGAGGCCCGCGCTGGGGCACGCGTGCAAGGTCAGACTCGCCCTGGGTATCATGATCGGCAGCCGCGATCAGAGCCTTCCCGAGGGTACGGCGAATAAGGGGAGACCGCTCCGGGCCCCGCGCGTTGACGTCACGGCGTCAAATGGATTACTTTCGGTTTAGGTTGAAGGCATCTGGGGGGGTCCACGCAGTGTTATTTGCCCCGCACCTCCCCCCCCCCACCCACATGGACGGCTCTGGCCACTGCTAGACAAAGGTCTCCACCCCAAAGCCGTCGCCATCGCTCACGATTCAATTGCAGCAACAATTCACATCGGCCGAGTACCATCCCTAAGACTTCCACTCCCGTCATTATTCATGACCATCCCAATACAACACCATCCCAATACAACACTGCAATACCACACCTGAGCAGCGTGGACATCCATACACCTGCCTGTACCCCACGCTGGGGTAATTAGATGATAACCGGTGAACCGGCCACCGGCACCTCCAGTTCCCAGTGTTCATGGAAAATGTTTGCAATCTGTACCTTGCCACCGACTCAAATCGCAACCCTTCTGGGATTGCGCTGTCACCACCCTAGAATCTCACAGAGCAGAGCAATGCGGACGTCCAGAATACAACACCGAATTCGAAACACAAACGTTATCGCACCTCCTCATGGCTTTGACGTTCCTCCTCGAAGGCACTGGTGTAACCATCTACCGAAGGTGCTGGTGTAACCATCTACCGCATCATATCAAAGCCAGGCCGATGCGCACATCTGCTTCATGACGGAAACCAAAAGACACAAGCCGCAGGAGTGCGATTGTGGCCATGCCACCCAAACTGTGAACCATATTGTAAACCACTGTCGTCCGTGCTGCTTTAAAGGAGCGATAGCAACACCACACGAACTCTCTCTCTCTCCTGAAGCCCTCTCGTTATGGCCAGCAGACCTCGACATTGCCACTGAGCCCCCATAATACCACATTGCCATTCGCTAGAAGAGAATAGCAGTGCCTTGACATCGACTCATGAACCAACCATCCATCCACACACCCACCACGAGCGCGTGCAGGTGCTAGCCGAGTCCAGCCCGGCGCTCTTCGGTCAAGCGTGGCGCCGCTTCGACGAGCTCTATCTGCTGCTGGACTTCCTGCTGCAGCGCCACAGCCTGCTGCGCCACTCCGCCTCCTTCTCGGAGAACTTCTACGACCTCAAGCGAGTCCCCGAGCGCCCGGGGACACCGGCCGGCTCGCGCCTGCCGCGCCGCGAGTTCTTCCTGTCGCTGGCGCTGCTGGTGGCAGCGCCGTACCTGCGGCGGAAGGTGGAGCAGATGGTGGCGAGGATCCGAGAGGAGATGGACTGCGGAATTCACCTGCCGGACTCGCGCAGCGTCAAGTCAGTTGGGAGTAAACATTTTCCTGGCGTGGCAGTTGAAACAATGGACGAGTTTATTAAATCCCACCCTCTACTTGCCCCTGTCCGCCCAGCAGTACAGCAGTAAATTGGCAGGTCGTGTGTGGGGGGTGGGAGGATGAGGGGTAAAGTGTGGGTACTGCCACCTCTTCCAAAACGTCTGGTCAGCACGGAAGAGGAGGCCAAAATACCCTCGAAAGGGGGCTCTGAAGCTCAGTCTCGTAGAAGCCCATGGGCCAGCAGTGGCGTGAGCAGGAATTTCAGGACTGTACCTTTGCCTTTTGTATTGTTTGACATTTTATATTAATTGTTCGTGCAGTGTTGTTCATCCCAGCTTATCATTTCCATGAATCGTCGGTCATTGATTCGTACACGCATGTTAGACGCTGAAATGTATTACGAGTGCAAGAATCGAGAGAGGTAGCACAATGGTTGGTGCACTGTGCTACAAACTCGGCAACCTGTGTTCGATTCCTGGTCACGGCTAACATCAGAACCAGTCCTTGACCTTCGTTTGGTTGACTTTAAAGGAATACCTGGTACAGTGTGTGTAAACACGAGCACTGAGGAGACACGGCTGGGCATTTGTGATGTGAACCACATCACAACCTCGTCGTGTGCCGTGCCCGCTTTTCATAAGTGCCCGCTAAAAATAGCACTCGCCCCAACGCTCAGTTAAGGCTTCACGGGTGATCTTCGCCCGTGTTGTTTTTCTGTGCCCTCACCCCCAGGCTGTACCGCGCCTTCCTGGCCACCTACCCGTTCGTGCACATGACCTGGGAGGGCGTGTGCCTCTGGCACCAGCTGAGCTACGCGCTGGGGCGCGGCCGCCACCACTCGCCGCTGCTTCGCTTCGCGGGCGTGCGTCTCGTCTGCCGCTTGCCCCTCGACGGCGCCGGCCCCGAGGAGGGACCGCGGGTGCTGCCGCGACATCACGGGTCCGGTAGCACAGACTGGCGGGCGGCGTCGGAGGAGGAGGGGAAGGAGTGCGGTGCCCCCAACGCTAACTACTAAAAACTAAATTAATAAAAAACTAAAACTAAACAGTGGACAATTGTGTTCATCACTAAAAGTGCCTTTGGAAACTAAACTAAATCTAAGCTTTTACTTTTACTAGGTAAGGCCCACTGAGCTATATAGCTTTTTTTCAGTAGTTACCTGGCCCCAAACGATAGCTCAACGAAGTGGCTTATCATGTGGAACTTTATAGCAGCCAAATATTCTAAACGCATGTTTCTAACCATGAGGGAAAAACCGGAGGACCTGCAGAAAAATCCACGCGACCACAGGGAGAACATGCAAACTCCAAATATACAGGCGTCAGAGTTGAGATCAAACCCGCGACCTCCCGTATAACAGGCGAGGCAGTTAACATCTTGCCACCATGGCGAGATATTAACGGCGGGGTCCACATCAGGGCGATCAGTTGCGCGACCAAATCGCGCAACTTCACTGCCTGCTTATACTTCTCCAGTTGCAGAGAGGCGTCCGCACACAAGCCGTTCAGTCACATGCAACAACAAAGTTGCGTGCAACAACCAAGTTGCGTGCAACTGATCGCACGGGTGTGTTTATACGAAAGCAATCGGTGAGCGCTGGACCGTCGGTGAACCAATGTAGCCACGTAAGCGACACGGGGGATCTCTGTCCCTGTCACCACAGCGGTGTCCTCGGGGTGCTGGGGTCGCTGGCGTCGCACGCCGCCGTCAACATCTCGGCCGCATTCTCCGTCGCCGTCTTCTTCCTGCAGTTCCTCGAGAGTTTCTACGCGCTCCGCGACGTGGGGTCGAGTCTCCTGGGCGGCGGCGGCGGCGGCGGCGCATCGTCGCTCCTGTTGCCCGACCTTCCGACGCCACCGCCGCCCATTCACCTGCACGCAGGTGTGTGTCGATGCGCGCACGCGGGCAGCGTCTGTGCCTCCCTTCGTCGCGTTTCGTAAAAAAAAAAAAAATTTGACAAGTGAGCCACGTGGCGCAGGGAGGGTTATAGAGACGCTTGAGCCAGGACCACCGAGGATCCTGGGTTTGTGTCGGGGTTCAAAGGCGTCAAACTGTGATTAAACTGGGTGCTCTGGTGTAGAGCGATGAGGGTTCCAGCCTGGTCACCAATGACTGCACTTACTTTTTTTTACCTCCGTTAAATTGGTTGATTTCCAGCTCTGAGAAGTTATTATTTATTGGGAAGGTTTTGTGGTACATCGTTAATTACCCCTTTAAACACGCGCACACGACGATGGCCATCACACTGGTCACCAGTTCCATCTCCCGGTGCGGAAATTGAAACGACTTTCTTGAATCCCCCCGCCTATCTTTCCATCCGACAGTATAAATGGTTACACCACAGTTAGCCAATTGTCATGTTGAGTATGGTGGGGTAAAGCGTGGGTACTCCCACCTCTTCTAACATGCCTGGGCCAGCGCGGAAGAGTAGACCAAATGCCTTGTTGAGAGGGTTTCCAGAGCTCCGTCTGGTCGAGGCCCTTCCGCCATCAACGGCACCCTTTGGCGCTTCTAACCCGTTCGCCGTCTCTGCCGCTGCAACCCCCCGGCAGATGCGGAGCTGGGGGATGGGCCGGCCGTGCCGCCCGGCGTGTGTCCCCTGTGCCGACGGCGCCGCACCAACGACACGGCGCTGGCGACGTCAGGCGTGGTGCTGTGCTACCCGTGCGCGTACGGCTACGTGCGCGAGCGCGGCCGCTGCCCCGTCACGGGCTACCCGACCAGGGCGCAGCACCTCGTGCGCCTCTACCCGCCCGAGCAGTGAGCACCCGGAGCCCACTTCACCCGACCCTGACCCGACCCGACCTGACCTCGGTTCGCTACGGAGCGGATGCCGAGAGGAAGCAGAAGGAGCAGAGGAGGGCGGCCGAGGGGCAACGTCGCGGCGAGGTTTCGGAGGCCACCACTGGCCACGAAACCAAGGGAGTGAGTTCAGAATCAGAATCTTTGTTTAGACTGGAGGAATCCGATGAGCTATTAAGTTATTTTTCACAGATGTCCGGGAGAGTTACCTATCAGCTACAGCTTGTGTTTTCCCCCTCCCCAGGCAGTAGTCAGCTAGCGCTTCTGCCCTACCCCTGATATTGTCCGTACGACCTGACTTGACGTCACCTGACCTTGAATCAACTTTGTCCCGGCGCAAACTGGCATCCACCACAAGGCCGAGGGTTGGCAGCGCGTGGATGTCCGAGTGCTCTGCATATTTTGCTGTGGTTCCGATCACAGTGCAATTCCATACCTGTATTCTTGTACAGGGAAATTGAATTTTCAGGTCCATACGGCGTACAGCCGTTTCAATACGGGCAACAAAAACATTATTTTGTCTATTTGTTTGTGTTTCTCCCTCTTGTGATGGGACTTTGGAGGATGAATGTTGAGATTTATAAGGGGGCACGGGGTGACCAATAAAGTCTGAATTGGCCTGTAATAAGGTAGTCACTGATAAGGGGTTGACAGGTGTGTAATTTCGATAGCTGTGCAGTAATCATGGTCATCATCGCCATCATTCTTTTACAGTCGATTTATTGAGCTGTACGCCCATCATTCTGTTTATATCTCAAGAACGAAACGAAAGAAAGAGCAATGCAACATTTTTTTTTCAAAATACAAGCCTGTGTTTCCGACCTGGAGAGCGAACAGTGGTGGAAACTCCTCGTTCCTATGACGGGAGGTCACTCAGTTCTTCCCTCCAAGCGGTGCTCACTTCAACAACCCGAGAGGGGACGATGACGGTGAGCCGGCGTAGATTTGAACTCGCGACTTTCCCGCCTGCGAGTTGAGCCCACGGCGCCACCTGCTATCAAGTGCAGTCATTCGCCGGCTTGGAGCCACGTGGTGAAGGCGGGGAGGTTCAAGGCCCACGCACTCGGCCACTGCGCTGTCGTCCCGCCGACCCGCGTATGTTCAACGACGCGAACCACCGCCTTAATGTGTTTGGGCCCTGCCACGACTGTACAGCGAAGGCACTGTAATTGTAAAGAGTTGCACTAAGATTTTGTTTGTGTGTGTGTGTGTGTAGTTAATCCTATTACACATTTCCTAATTGTGCGATGCAATGTCAGTTAAATTAACTGGATTTACGTTTTGTTTTATTAACTAATAAAATGTTGGATTTTTGTGCCCGTCGACAAATCTTCCAACTCGCATCGGGCGGCTCCAGGACACAACATATTCACAAAATCAGAGATCCACCTTTTGTTTTTGCACACTCCACTGTACCCGCAATACGCGCACACAAATCGCGGGCGACTCAAGACAACTGACAGTGGCATTGGCATAAGCGGACTTTCATCCAGCAGCGGATAGAAACTGGCTTATGGCGGTCACCAGGGTCGAAGGCTTCCCCGCTCGATGTGAGCGAGCGTAATTATGCTAACGATGGTAACGATGGTAACGACAGGCGAGTGAACGCGCGGGTCACCCTGTCCCCGACTCTTGCAGCTCGAGCAGCAGTTGCCGCAGATCCTCGCGCACACGCAGCCCCGACAGCTTCCTCTCGAGCCCGTGAAAGTCGGCGCTCTCCAACAGCCGTTCCTGCTCCTCCTCCCCGTCGCAGCCCTGCCCTGCGTGGGGCAGGCCCCGTCTTCCCCGCTGCTGCCCTCCCCGCTGCTGCCCTCCTGCCGAAGCTGCCCGCCGCTCCTTGTCCACGAGCTGCTCCTCCTCCGAGCCGCGTTCTCTCCGCCCGAGTTCGTCGCCTCCGGGTGGCGACCGCTCCGGGTTTTCAGAACGGACGCCGCCGCTGGACGCGAAGTTGCGTTGGGGTTAGGGGTCAACGTAGGCCAGGATATTTACAACTATATATTTTTACCGGGCGACGTGATAAGGCCGGCGAGTGCTGACGTCGCGTGGAGGAATCGTGATGTCACGCTAAATGAGATATAGTGTTTCTATTTCATCTCAATTTCTATTTCTCTGGCCTACTTTAAGGTTAGTGTTCAGGGTTAGGATTAGTATTCGGTTTAGACAATAGGGTTAGAGTTAGTATTAGTCTAGTAATTGTGGTTAGACATCCGTTTAAAATATTAAATATGATTTGGTTTAGTGTTGGGGGTCATAGTTTGAGGGTTAGAGTCAGGGTTTCAGGTCACCGGATTAATGTCAGGGTTTGAGGGTTGGGTGCAGGCATCAAGGTTACGAGTTTAGGGGTATGATCACGGGCAAATGTCAAAAGCTCAGGGTTAGCGTCATGGTTTGAGGTCACGGGATCCTCACCGGCCACGGCGGCCCAGGATGACGCACATGGCGATGAAGAGCGGCAGATCGACGCTTTGGTCCTCATCGCGCAGTCCCAGCAGCGAGACGAGGTGAGCGAGAAGGAGAGACCTGGGGCTGCACAGTAGGCGTGCAGCCTCCTCCGCCTCCTGTACCACGAGCCAGGATCATCCACCTCAATGTGATCGTCATCATCATCACCATCAAAGACACTGTCTCCATAAACATCAGAAATATCGCAATGATCAATGTCTCCATAATCATGATTTGCATCACCAATATGGCCATTGACATTCTCATTACCATGTAGTACAACATTACCGTTGTCATTGTCTTCGTGATTATAGTCATAATTTCATCATCTTTATCGGTGCCATGGTGATAGTAATCAGTGTCGTTATGATATCTGCTGCAACTCGTCATTAATCTCTTGGTGATGGAAATTCCGACCGTGTTTTCAACTGGTGTTTGTGATGAGCCGGTGACTCCTCTACGAATAGAGCCCTCATCATCATTGCTGGATTCAGCGAACACCACAATAAATCTAGAATCACCACAATTATAGAAGTGAAAATCCACGGACGTTTGCCTTCACCATTTTGTTCGTACCCACCCCCCACCACTGCGGCGAGGTTACTAGTTCAGGAGGGTTCACCGGGAGCGTGAGGAAGCCGTCCCCGTCCCGATCCGCGCTCCGGAACGATGCGACGAACAGCTCCGTCCACTCCGGGGCACAGCGGCAGCGCTGGCGGGCGTACGCGCACGCCGACATCCCTGAAACACGGTCGGTCACCCCGCCCGCAAGCACCGGCAAACGGTCAGGTTTTCCACCGCACGGCTGAGCCGCGGCCGGGCCCGTGTCCCTGGCCAGCCCAGCACGGCTCGCGCGGGGCGCCAGCTTGTTTTTCCACTGCGGAACCCAAGCCGTGAACGAGCCGAGACGAGTGTATAGACGCCGCGGTGTTGCCGTGACCCAGGCTTTAGAGCTCAGAGGTCGAGAGGTCGTACCTTCCAGTTCCCGGAGGTCGACAGGAAGCTCAAAGCGTGCTTGACGTGGGGACAGGAGGAGCGCTTCCCTGCTGAGGCCCGGAGAGACGCTCCCGTCCTGAGGGATTAATAACGTAGCACACAACACGAGGGGATTAAACACATCCCGATGGTAGCAGGACCCTCGTGGAAAAGAGTTGAGAATCGTTGAGGCTTCGCTGGTTAGCCAAAGGGCATTGTCATTTGCCACCAACGATTTATCAGGAGGGAGATTTATGTGTGTGTGTATGTGGGGAGCGATGACGCTATGAACCCGGCGACGCGAGTTCAATCGTCACCCATGGCCCAACACTAGTGGCATTTATATGAACCAGTTCTGGGCCTCCCCTAGGTCCACTCAGCCTCAAATATCTTGTGAAATGTGTAAACATCTCCACTCGGAAGAAAAAGGCGGCCGGGCGTGGCGTTGGCCACCCACCCCCTCATGTGCCGTGCGTGCCTTCATAGGTGTTCTATAATAGCACTTGCCCCACCAATCTGTTAAGGCTGTACGGGGGATCTTTGTCTTTTATATGTCTGTGTTTGCGCCTCTCTGTATATCTGTGTGTGTACGTGCGTGCGTGCGTGCGTGCACTCGGCACCGTGTCCGCGTGCACGCTGAGGCGGAGCGGCACGTGCGTGAGAGCCGTGTCGCGCGTGTTGGGCCGCAGCGGGAAGAACCGCCCTGCGTGCCCCAGCGAGAAGCGGTGGGGCAGCTCCTCCGTGCCGGCTGCCGCCACCGCCACTCCCAGCCACTCGTACACGGCCTGCGCCACCAGCGACGGGAGGAATCGGGGAGTATTTGGATCACTGTAGTCCAGGGGGAGTAATCTTAATTCCAGTAATCCAGGGGTCGAGGAAACCACGGGCCACATGGACCGGGATACGGCCCACGGCATCATGATGACCACCCACTTTGAAACGGCCCGCAAACGATATTTATCCGGTCGCTGCGAGCATCTCACCGGCACTAATCGGGTACGAGAGAGGGAATGTTTTCTATCTGCCAAGGCTGTGTTTCACTGCGTCGCTTCCGTCGCTGCAAGGGCGTCTTCACACTAGCTCGACACGAACGTTGTTGTTCACGTTATTGGAAAATGAATGCTAAGGTGTGTGTTAATTTATTTCAAGGATAAGCTTCAAGGATAACCCATGGCCTCAACATTATTACATACGATTTGCATGAAGGGTAAATAATCATGAATCTCACGCACTTGTGTATCGTGTATGCGATAAACAAAAGAGGACGATCCTTGGAAACACTGCACAGGTGGTGACCCAATACCCCTTTTTTTCCCATCGCCACATCCGAGCTGTGGCAGCCTGGGGCCCTCGCAGTATGGGTGATTTTCCACCGACTATTTACTGTTCCTTTCCTCGAACCAAACTGTGATACGCTGACCTTACAGGGCACACTGAATCTGGCTTGGGGCCAAGCAGGGCCAGGGACGGGGCTAATGACGCGAGGACACGCCGTCGCCGCGTCGTGCGGTGTGACCTGCAGGGTGTCGTGCGGGAGAAAGTATCCGACAAACTCCCTCTCTCCGAACTGAACCGAGACTCTTCTCTGCCCCAGGGAGACGGCGGCTTCCTCCGCGGCTCTCTCTCGGCTCACGTTCCTCTGCCAGGTCAAACAGACAAAAAACGCGCAACGATTCGCCCCAAGTTCGAATTCCTGGCCAGGGATAAGACCTCAGCGGTGAGCGACATGTGAACCGGTGACCAACGCGTATCTGACCAGCAGCAGAATTGTAATCATAATAGCAATGATGGTAATAAAAAAAACATCGCTTAATTCATGCAAATTGTACCTCAAAACGCTCAAAATTGCGTACCACATTTTTAACGAAACAAAAGGGAGGAGATCTCCACAGAGACGGAGCACAAACACGATCAAGCGGACCGAGGCGAACAACAACATGAACCACGTGGGGCGACAGTAAACTCTTGAGCGCCCGACATCAGAGAAAATCCAGGGAATAACCACAAAGGTCATCATCAATAATCATCAATCAACATCATAAGCAGCAGCGCACTGAGCATCATTATCAACAGCTGGATCAAAACCATCATCATGTTGCCTTTCATTCATGTCCCGATCATCGCTGAATCCACCTGCACGCAGTATCGCGCGGGACTGGAAAAAAAAACCCGAGGAGGAGTTTGGTCGCCTCCTCGACCCGGAGCCCCGAGCCGCCGGTGGCGGTGCCCACACCTTGCTTGCGATCTCGCGGCTCTGCTTCAGGTTGTACCGCTCCGTGAGCCCCCGTCTGTAACGACAGGCGCACGTGCGCGCCTCACTAAGCGGGCCACGCTCCAGAGTCAGTCCCAACATGTGGGGGCATGGAGCCTTCTCGAGCGCAGGCCTGCCTGCCTGCCCGCCACCGGACGTCCGAAAAAATGCGCCGAGTGTCTCTCAGTTCCGTGGTCCGTGCCTTCCCATAAAATATTTTTTTTTTACCACTTATCTTTCTTATGCTATTTGTAGTGCACGGTTGCACTTTATTTTGTACACGGTTGCAATTTACTTTGCTCAGTCGGTGTTAGCCACGGAGGGTATGACGAGTTTATTTTTTTTCATTCCTGTTGCTCTATGCCCCCTGTACCGTTCCTGTTCCGTTGCAATGTGCACCGATGCTCACTCTATGGAGGGCGATATTGGCACGTAAAATAAACATCGATTGATTGATACTCTTTGGTTCTATTCGGTAAAGTCACGTAGGTAAAAAATAAAACAACAAAAATCACGACGTTTCGGCCACAACACAAGCGGCCTTCATCAGGTGAAGGGACCAGACTGTCTCGAAGACTGCGCTGGAGTGAAACAGAGCCAAGCTCAGACTACGACCTTTAAGCTGTGTGAGAGGGATTAAGGTGCCTTGACAAAGGAATAAGCATAAAAATTTAGCATTTGATTGGCGGACTTAGCATGATGAAAGGTGTAGCACGCAGCAGTGCACCTTTAAGCTGTGTGAGAGGGATTAAGGTGCCTTGACAAAGGAATAAGCATAAAAATTTAGCATTTGATTGGCGAACTTAGCATGATGAAAGGTGTAGCACGCGGCAGTGCACCTTTAAGCTGTGTGAGAGGGATTAAGGTGCCTTGACAAAGGAATTAGCGTAAACATTTGCATTTGATTGGCGGACTTAGCATGATGAAAGGTGTAGCACACGGCAGTGCACCTTTAAGCTGTGTGAGAGGGATTAAGGTGCCTTGACAAAGGAATTAGCGTAAAAATTTGCATTTGATTGGCGGACTTAGCATGATGAAAGGTGTAGCACAGTGATCGGCACCGGCAGTGCACCCGCCTGTGCTGCGAAAGTTTAGGGTACCACTACTTGAAAAAATATACTGTACCAATGAAAATTAGAATCGATTGATTGATTGATTGAGAGTGACGCTCGAGCCGTTCCTGCGGTGCGGACCGCTACTGTAGAGGTGGGAAGCTGCGGGGAAGTGCGGTTCTCACATCCTGGATGCCACGCTCACAGTGGGGGGCGGCTTCACTGGGGGGGGCCGCGTGACAGTGACCGGGGGCAGCCTGGGTCTCGGACGCCGCACATCCTGCCTCCCCGTCTCGCCGCCGGTCTGATAGGAGAGACGCGCGACACACACCAAGATGAGCCCACGAGCGCCGGGTCGTGGATTTGGGTTGCCACCCACGCAGTGCTTCACGTTCATCACGCTGGGCGCGCGGTGCGCCAACCGTTCATTGTAGATGTGAGCGGCGCCAGTGAGCTGCCCCTTTCGTTTTCGAGAGCAACTCAGATTTATGGGGCGCCCTTAAACAATGGATTTTGGTGCTCCGATTTGCACGGTTGGCTACGTAGGGTACGAAAGAAGAACGTACGTATGTACAAGAGGAAGATAAAAAAAGTGCGAAGTAACCGGGGAGAGAGCCGAAGGAGACCAGATTGAGAACTGGAGAGAGAGAATGCCTTGTTGAACGGGTGGTGTGGTCTTCAGCCGGGACTTCGACGTCTCCATCGACTGTGAGTTCCTGATCCCCCAAAAGGCAGGGAATTTCAGGAGCCTGGGTGCTGTGCAGCCAAATACCACGTGGTCACCCCAGGGTGGCAGCCTGGGGCACGGTTACGGCGGGGTAGGGCACGATCAATGGATCTGAGTGGAGGAGTGTGTGAATGTTTGGCTGAATCAACTCCTGGTTATAAGGTGGAGCAAGTAAATGGCTCTATAATTGCACATTCCTGGTGTGCAGCTTGTGTGGAGCGCTGGGAGCAAGGCCTCTCACCATGGAGGCTACCGGGGGGGTCTCTCTGCACCCACTGCCCATGCTCGCAGCGTCCGTTTCTGACGAGGAGTCACCGGCCATTGCCACCGCACCCTGACGATGGCCTCTCCGCGTTCGCCGCGCCGACAGCGATCTTCCAGACTCCGGACCGTCATCGCCGCCATCACCGCCTCGTCCATCACCAATCTGTCAATGACAGCGATCGCTCCTGCACCTTTCCACGGCCACTTGGAGCCGTGCTGACTTTGGGCTGGGACCGGGCCGAGCTGGAACCAGGAAGGGCTGGGACCAGGCCTGGCTGGAACCAAGACGGGGTGGGACCAGGATGGGCTAGGACCAGGCCTGGCTGGGACCGGGCCAGGCTGGGAGCAGACTGGACCAGAACGTCTGGGTTCCTATGGAAACCAGCTTATGGACGAAATGTAGTCTCATCATAATCATCACTTTGTTTTGGCGATACATCCTTCAAGGGCAATCCTGACAATCTGACCACCACCACACTACATGCCTTTATCTCTTCCCATTGGTCACCGACCTCTGCGGTGTGCCACTCCAATGCCAATCTCAGTAACCCGCCTTCTTCCACCCTGCATACCAGCGCCGTTGCGAGTGGGGCTGATGGTGTTTGCCCTACACCACCAAACGTCCGTTTGCCCCCCCCCCACCCACATTCACGCTCCTCCGTAGTGGTGAGCTGTAGCCGGCCCTGCTGCAACATGTTACACACCCATGGCGACGACGTAGAGAAAATTACTGATTGTTTTATATCAAGCCCCTGGTTTATCGATCTGAGGTGGTGAAATGTTAACTACCTCGACTGGTATACAGGAGGTCGTGGGTTCGATCCTGACCCTGACGCCTACTGTATATTTGTAGTTTGTATGTTCGCCCTGTGGTGGTGTGGGTTTTTCTCCGGGTCCTCTGGTTCTTCCCTCCACATTTAGAATCAACGTGCGTTGAGAATATTTAGCTGCAATAAAGGTCCATTTGTGGCCAGGTCACTTCTGAAAAATATTTATATTGTTCAGTGGGCCTTCCTTGGTCAAATAAAATAAATAGTTTTTTTTCCCCATAGTTTATCGACCTGGCTTCAGTCGGTTGTGCTGTCATCGGTGTCAAGGAATGACCTGGCCAGACAGCGAGGTCACTGCAGCGCCGGCAAGAGCATTGGAGACACGGTCACCGCCACCAACAGCACCATCACCGTCGTCCCCGTCGCGCTTGCGACCGGGGTCTCCCAATTCAGCTGCACCCAATGGCCTCGTCTCCTGGAGTAGAAACACAAATTGCGTTTGTAAAGAAGTTCCAGGCGGCTAAGTGGCCGTACATCAATGACGTCACGCGATTTTGGACGATTTTGGACCCCCCTCGTCACACGGCGTCCCAAAAAGTCAGACCCCCCCCCCTTAAATATCGCCTTAAAATATTGTCATTGTAGTGCGTATTTAATGTGCCGCTGCACTCTGATGTAGGAGAAAACATTTCTCAAACCCCCCCCCTCTCGTCACACAAATGTCTGACCCCCGCCCCTAGGTGCGTGACGTCATTTATGGACGGCCCCTAAGTCTCACGACTCGTTCTTTATTTCTCTTCAGCACGTACCACCCGCAGCACGAACCAACTTCCGGGAATTACTCCGTTCAGGCCTCGAACGCCCCCCACTTCTGGAACCTTCTCCGTCTCTCCACCAATCCCCTCCCTTTCTCCTCACACTCCTCCCACCCAACCCCTCGTGTACATTTCACTTTTCCCGGGCTTTTTCAAATTAACCTCTCGGCCAATGGGATTTGAGTTGTTTCACCACCCTCCAATAAGATCGTGTGCTCAACGCGCATCGGCTCTCCACGTGATAGACCGCCAATGGGAATTGAGCACCTGATTTGAACTCGCCCAAATCGCTAAACTCGGCAAGTACAGTATAGTATTGGGACGCCACGGTGGCTATGAGATGTTAACTACCTCGCCTGGTATGCAGGAAGTCGTGGGTTCGATCCCGACCCTGACGACGCCTTCTGTGTATTTGGAGTTTGCGTGTTTCTCTCTCATCATCATCATCATGGTGGCTGAGATGTTAACTACCTCGCCTGGTATGCAGGAGGTCGTGGGTTCGATCCCGACCCTGACGACGCCTGCTGTGTATTTGGAGTTTACATGTTTCTCTCTCTCATCATCATCACGATGGCGAGGAGATGTTAACTACCTCGCCTGGTGTGCAGGAGGTCGTGGGTTCGATCCTGACCCTGACGCCTGCAGCTATATATTTTGAGTTTGCGTGTCTGTCTCCTTGTGGTTGCATTGATTTTTATTCGCATCCTCCAGTTTTTCCCTCCACATTTAGAAACATCCATTTCGAGTATTTGGCTGCTATACATTTCCACACTATAAGCCACTCCCTTAAGCTATTTGTAGCAGGGTCTCTTCTGAAAAAGAGCTATACAGCTCAAGTGGGCCTTACCTGGTCAAATAAAAAAAATATATAGATTTTGATTGTTTCTTTACGTACTTAATAGGGTTACCCTCTCGGGGTTCCTTACCCGTTTACAACTGAAATACACAGGGCGGCCGGTGGTCGAGACGAACGATGGAACGGCAGTCAAAGTGGAGAGACACTGGCGAGAGATATGGCTTGTCGCATCACGTGAATGTGGGAGATGGCGACGGATCGGGCTAGCAACTGTTGTTGCACGTTGAACTTCTTTCGCAACGTACGTAGCCCACCGCGGCTCAGCGGAGGTTGTTGCCGTCCTGGGTGGAGGTCACGACGTACTTTGTGTTTTACAGCGTGCGGCGAGCGTGCCGCTGTGCCTCCTGGGCTCACATCTACCACGCTTCGATGTCTTTACCACCGACCAGCGTGGTGAAGTATGGTCACGCAACCCCCCCCCCCCCCCCGCGACTAACTCAGTGCGGGGAGGCCCTCATCCAGCAGTGGATGAGTTTGTTTTGTTTCACCGGAGTGAGAACTCAAGAGACCAGGGATAGTCTCAAGTGCAAAAAGGGACCTGGGCCACCAGAATTGTGAAAGCAAATCAAAATGAGATAACGTGATGCAATAAAGCAAATAGAAAACGAGGCAAAAAAAACAATTGTCACGTGATATAAGTATCAATAATATTTCACAAACATAAATCAATGTTAAACAATACATTCCCTGTGGCATAAGTCGGGCTCGGGAAGATTACCTTTTTGTCGAATTACAATGAAGTTACGGCAGCATGAAACATACAATAGGTTGTCTTGTACTGCAGCAGGCATTCACCTGCGATGACAACACCCGAGATGTAAGCTCACCGCCTGCCCGAATCCGGAGCGGTGGGACAATCACTGACGCCGCTTCCTTCCACTTACGTCCGAGATGCCGGTGGCCGCAGGCACAGGGGCTCCCGCTCCGCGTTTTTGGAGTTTCCCCCTCCTCCTCGTGGAGTTGACGACGCCTCCCCTCCCGTGAGACCGGAGCTCCTGGGAGTGCAAACCGGGCGTCAATTCACCGCTCGGCGATAGTTCCTCGCTTTGTGCGAGACGAAACCGCCGCAGTAAATTTCAATCGCGTTTTGAAATGAAAAAAAAAATCGCAATCGCATCTCGAGACACTTCAGCAAAAGTGACAATTACATTCGAGGATAGATTAGCACGGTTGTCTACATACGGTGCGAAGAAAATTCAAGCGTACATACAGGGAGATGACGGGAGGAGGGTCAGACCAAGGGAAAAATACGGGAGAGACGGGAGAGAGAGAGAGAGAGCGCAACACCGCGGCACAGACGAGGATGGAGCAACCACAGCCCAGCACCAACAACAACAAGAGCGGAGACTAACAACAACAACATCATCAACGAGGCCCCAGGGGCCATGAATGCACGAATCCTTTAAACCTGAGTTGGGCAGCGTTAATCCATGTGCAGCACGCAGCTCAACAACGTGACGAGGGCAATAGGACTACTGACATCCGGTCAGGTATCTCAGCAGTCGAGCGAGCGAGCGGCTCTCAGTCGTAAGGTTGAGAGTTCAACTTCTGGTTGGGGGGAGTGGAGGTTGACTCAACCCCTCGTTCCCTGCAGCGTCGATTTAAAAAAAAAGCACAGCTTTGTGGCAGAGTCAGCAGTGGTTGTCCTCGCCTCCGTCATTCGAATGTGGAATTTCCATCAATGGCTCAGATGGCAATCATAGGGGAATTGTGAATGCCAAACCTTGCCGCGGGAGGGGGTTGGAGGAGGAGTTGTTGGTTGGCGCGAAGTCGGCCCAGCCTTGGTTGCTGTGCGATGCCCGGAGTGAGCCGGTGGGAAGAGGGGGGGGGGATACAGGGTGAGAGGAGACACGGGCACGGGGCGGTGCAACTGTGCGAGGAAACATTTCTACTGAAATCAGCGCTTCCGCGGGGCCCATCGCACGCCAGAGAATACCACCCAATGAGTCAATTAACGACACCCCGAACTGATGGCTGCTAATTTCCCAGCAAGCCACTTGAGAATTCACGTGGGCTGGGTGAGGGGGGGCATTGGTGGTACTAGGCATGTGCAAAAGCAAATTAAAGTGCTTTTCAACCCCCCCCCCCCCAAAAAAAAATTCAAGGGGCCCTGGATTAATGAAACTATACAGTATACGGTATATGGATAATCCAAATGGCAGTTTGAATTAAGTTACAAATGAGCATAAGACAACACGAAGGTTGACTTGGTCGTTCCCATCTATAGTCCGTATCTCTCATGTCACTACATCTCTCTCTCTCCTGTACACATCTCTCCTGCCATCTCACTCGGGCGGTTTATGAATTGTGCATCTACTCATACATGAAGCGCTTGATTGTGCGGCGAATCACCTCTGTCCGTGACAGGTGTGTGCATGTGGATCGGGTGGCGGCAAACAAGACAGAGGCCGTTGTCCATGAGCGGATCGTACTGGCAACTACGGCAGGAGCACAGGTGACATCGCAGCCCGGGCACCTGTGACACAGCCGGAGGAAGAAATCGTCATCCACTGCTGGATGAAGGACCCACCACCTCCCCCGAGCGGTCTCGCGATGCAACAATCCATCGGACTTCCGGCACGTGAGCTGAATGTATCGCTCCCTGCCTGCAACGGATGCCCTCCTCTGCAATTGTAACTTACAATGGTGATTTCAACTTGTAGCGCGACGCACGGCAGTCGCTCGCTCTCGATGAGAGAGACAGAGGGAGAGAAGGACTCAGGGGCGCGAGGAGGAACCGCGGATGAGCAGCAAGGCAGCAGCAGCAGCCTGGCGATAAGCCGGCGCAGACAATCGCCCAAGCTCTGCGGTCCTCTAGATTATTTGAAGGTGCTACCGGCCATATTCACGGGTGTCTTTACACGTGGGAGAAAGCCCACGCACATGCGAGGAGGCAACGGTCTGCCTCGCCGCGGTGGCTAGGAGATGTTACCTGCCTCGCATGGTGTGCAGGAGGTCGTGGGTTCGATCTCGACCCTGAGGCCTGCTGCTGTATATTTGGAGTTTGCGTGTTTCTCTCCCCGTGTAGGGTCCCCCCCCCCCCCCCACCACATTTAGAAACACGAGTTTACAGGATTTGCTTGCTATACATTTTCACGTGATAAGCCACTCTGTTGAGCTATCATTTGTGGCCAGGTCGCTTCTGAAAAAGAGCTACATAGCTCAGTGGGCCTTACCTGGGAAAATTAAAAAAACAATAGTTTATAGTTTTATCTCGTACAGATGGAACAGTTGGGAGTCCGCATTGTACTGGACTGCCAAAACATGGTACAGCACCTCCTAGACGCCCACGGGGAGATCCCGTAATCCGCCAACCCTAACTGCTACCCCCACAGGGCTGCTGATTTACGACGTGCAAAAAGACACCCTTGACCGTACATTGAACATCAGTTACAATTATGCCTGGCCTTTGTAGGCTATGACAATGCAGTTGACTCGATGAAAGAAAAAAATGCAGCCAATCCTATAGCTCTCGTAAAACAAACAAGCCATAATATATGTGTATAAATCGTGCATAAAGCGTGTACAAGACTTGAACAGCTGTCTCCGAGAATGAACACCGTAACAGGACCTCCTGCGTACCAGGCGAGGGAGATAACATCCGTTCGCCACCGCCATTGAACGATGCCCTATGGAGGTCACGGCTGATACGCGGGAGGCGAGCTGTTGGGGCCCTCGTTGCCCGCCTGTACCTGCACAGGTGAGCACATTCCACCTTGCCGAGGGTCGACGCCCAGGTAGAAATTAACCCCTTCCACCCACAGCTCGGCCGTTCTCCGCAGGTAGCCTGG